CTGTGAGAGGTGCGAGAGAGAGGGGGAGAGCGAGAGAGAGAGAGAGGGCGGGAAAAGGATGCAAGAATCTGTTAGAGCGAAAGCTGGTGAGAAGCACGTGACCTGAGTGCAAGAGTGCAAAAGTGTCCAGCCCCGCATGGCCAAGGGACGCGTGTTTTTTGGGCAGCAGCTCAGTCTGGCGTTCAAGACAGAGCGAATCCGGCTCAGCGCCGCGTTCTGGCTGAGTGGAGCAAAGGGGGAGCCGCCAATTTCGAGGCGCGTCTGCGCGCGGTTGCAGCCCAGCCAAACCGAGCGGGATAAAAAAGAGGCTGAGCGGAAAGCAACACAGCAGAACAACACTCAGCCGCGGCGGGCGCCTATCCTGCATCCTCATCACCACCGTCGTCACCATCACCACCAACCGCACATACATACATACATACATACACAAACGCACACGGCCGGCTATCGTGAAACAGGACAATCAAGAAGCAGCTGGGATCATGCTCCTCGAGTCGCTGGCTCGTCTCTGATTCGAACCATACGCAACCTCTGACCGTACCTACACCTAGCCCGGCTGCGGCTCCACTTGGCATCCACGTCGCCCGCCAAGCAAATCATCTCCGTGGTCGTCTTGCGGCACAGCATTTAGCCCAGCATGCGTATCGAGGAACTCATCATCGACGGCTTCAAGTCGTATCCCGTGCGCACGCACGTCTCCGGCTTCGATGCCTCGTTCAATGCCATCACCGGCCTCAACGGCTCGGGCAAGTCCAACATCCTCGACTCAATCTGCTTTGTACTTGGCATCACCAACCTCACTGCCGTGCGCGCAAACAACCTCCAGGACCTCATCTACAAGCGTGGCCAGGCCGGCATCACCAAGGCCTCCGTCACCATCGTCTTTGACAACACCGACCGCAAAAAATCGCCAGTGTCGTTCGAAAACTGCCCGCAGATCACAGTGACCCGCCAGATCGCCATGGGGGGCGCCAGCAAGTACCTCATCAACGGCCACAAGGCCACGCAGCAGGCGGTGCAGAACATGTTTCAGAGCGTCCAGCTCAACATCAACAACCCCAACTTCCTCATCATGCAGGGCAAGATCACAAAGGTGCTCAACATGAAGCCCGCAGAGATCCTCTCCATGATCGAAGAGGCGGCTGGAACGCGCATGTTCGAGGATCGCAAGGACAAGGCCATCAAGACCATGGCCAAGAAGGATCAGAAGGTCAAGGAGATCACCGCGCTGCTCGAGGAGGAGATCACGCCCAAGCTCGACAAGCTCCGCGAGGAGAAGCGATCCTTCCTCGAGTACCAGAAGGCCACCACCGAACTCGACCGCCTCACGCGTCTCGCCAAGGCCTACGAGTGGCAGCAGTTCTGTGCAAAGTACGAAGAGCGCAAGGCCCTCGTCGACCGCAAGTCCCAGGACGTACAGGACCGTCAGGACGAAGCCGAGGCGCTCAAACGCCAGATCGAGAGCATCGAGAGGGAGCTCGCACAGATCGAAAAGAAGAAGGAGGCAGAGATGACCAAGGGCGGCAAACTCCAGGCGCTCGTCAACCAGAGCAAGGAGCTTCAGCACGACCTCGTCAAGCGCAAGACCAACGTCGATCTCAAGATGGGCTCGGTCGACGAGGAGCGCAAGAAGCTCCAGGCGGACCAGGTCTCGCTCGACGCGCTCCACCAGACGCTCAAAGACAAGGAAGCTGAGCTCATCGACCTTTCCGGCTCCTTCTCCAAGCTCAAGGCCGACTACGACGCTGCGGTCGCCGACGTGACCAAGCAGGACGAGCTGCTGCAGACGCTGCTCACCGGCATGGCATCCTCGTCCAAGTCCAAGGCCGGCGAGGCCTCGGCAGGCGGCTACATGGGCCAAATCGCCTCGGCGCGCGCCGAGGAGTCGGCGGCGAGCAC